TATGCGGCTTACGTGGCCTGTTGCACGTACGCACGACGATGCGAACTTATTGAGTGCGGCGATGGTGACAAGACTCTTAAGCTCCAGTGTACTTCGACAGCAGAGTCGACATGTCAAATTTTTTTACTTATGTTGTCAATTTCAAAGAAATAAATACTTGTATTACTGAAGATACAGTCCATCTCTCAATTGTAATAACTTAGCTATAGAGGCTGTCATTACCAACTACCTTAACCATGATACTACTGAAAAATTAAAATTATAAGCTGGTAACGTTTTTGACTACATCTGTTACATAGAAACTGTGACGAATCATATTGTGGCCCTGAAAAGGGCCTTTTGTTTTAAGATATATCCTTATATCATATCTAACTTATCTAAAATATAGCTTTAAGTCTGAGAACGCCTCGTTTTAACGTAAGCTAGGAAGTCTTCCTGCAGTTGCTTGGGACACTTCCGACGATATTCTTCAAATGTAAGCCGCTCTTCACCACAGGTACTAGTAGTAGCACCACAGGATTCCTCACCAGCTTGACTCTTGTTTATTCGTTTCTGCCTTACATTTCTTTTGATTGGTGGCAGTGCTGGTACCGCGAATATATGGTCTTTTGGTGACTCTAACACTTCAGTAGTATCACCACAGGATTCCTCACCAGCTTGACTCTTGTTTATTCGTTTCTGTCTTACGTTTCTTTTGATAGGCGGCAGTGCTGGTACCACGAATATGTGGTCTTTTGGTAACTCCAACACTTTAGAAATAGTTGAGCACATCTCTTGTTGGTTTGAAGCTGCCGAATCCATCTTGATATTTGTAAAAAAATAAACAATTCGGTATCACACAACAACAAATGTCTACCGATAGACAACTGTTCGTGTCGACGACAGGACAGGCACTGACTCCTTGGCAAATGGAATTTGACTCATTCAACTATTGTAAATTCTCCCCTCCCTAAAAATTATTTCTCGGGCGTTAGCAAACATCAAGCTCGTGCGCTGATTGGTCGGTAACTATTTGAGAAATATCTACTGATAAGACTTTGGTTTTTGCAAAGCTGCACCAAATTTATTGTCACGAATGGAATCAAGAATAATTGACATTTTAAAATAAGATACATAATTATACTGATTGCCACTGAATAAAAATAATTGAAAAAAAAAACACAAAATCTCGCTTAGAAGCTTAGATGGTACATTATAAACTGATCAAATTATCAAACGAGGTTTTCGGAGTTAAACGGACGGACTAATGATTTCCTGAAATAATTTATTTGAAGTTACCTGAAATTTACTAGGGAGAGCTACCTGCCACAGATAATGCGTGGTAATTTCCAACTCACTCTCAACCTGCCGTGGGACCCATAAAATAACACGTGTCATTCCTTTATTATTTTTAGTATTAGCAGTCTTGCATTATCTTAATAATTAATATGGTATATTATCCCCGAATTTTATCCTGTGCCTTTTATCCCCGAAGGCATAAGCAGAGGTGCACATTACGGCACATAATGCCACAGTACAATGTAACACCCACTTTTCACTATTAATGTGACGAGTATCTTAGTAATTAGTAAGTAACTAGCAATTACTCGATGAAAAGGAAAAAATTGAATTGTGGAGAATAGGTACCGATCAGCAGCAGATACTTAAATAGTTTATTAATTATCTTTAGGTAACGAGCTTAAAATGACTCAGTTTATGAAATTAGCGATTAAGGACAACATCGCGAGGAAACCTGCTCTTTTAATTTCTTGTTAAATCCAACTAATTTCTAATATAAAACTAGTTAAATGTTTTATTTAGAATATCAATTTAGTTTTAACCGACTTCAAACAATGAGTTTCTCAAATTGTCCTATATGTATGTTTGTGCGCGATTATCTCGCGATTGGGTGAACCGATTTTGATGCAGTTTTCACAAAAGTGTTTTGTACACTTAGGAAAAGATTTTAGTATATTATTAAACAAACTATAATAAATGAGGGGTTTGACGTCGGTTAAAATAGTGTACTATTATTTTAGTTTATGTAGAGTAAAGTAGAGTGCATTTATTGATATGAATTAATTACTTAAAAAATAAGTAAAAAGAGAAGTACTTAAATTCATGTTCTGGTTATGACTAGAGTATTTTCTGTAGAAAAAAAATACCATAAGAACCATAAAAGCAAATAGAATCTTGTTTAAGTAACACAAAACATTAATTTCTCTGGCATTGTCAAGCTTCAAACTCGGTTACTTTTTCGAAGCATCTACTGATAAAACTTTGGTCTATTGTCCCACGCTAACAAAGCATTCCTAGTCCTCTATTGTTTAAAAATTAAAAGTTCTATGTTTTCTATTGTAAGTGGTAATAATTTTGACCACACACACATTTTGTTATATTTTCGATGAATTTCTCGAAACCTTATCAACGGATCTGGAGAGGACGAACGTTTTGAGGGAAAAATCATTTACGATCTTCAACAAGGTTCCTAAACTCCTATTGATACTGGCCGGTATACGGTTCATCAGGTGAAATTCGCGATACCGCCAAAATTACCGGGTTTAGAATTATGTGTGTGTGTATATCAAAATGAAACCCAAACAGTTACGTTTCCATTCTGATAATTTTGAATTCAAAATATACACGTAATAAATATACTTATTATGTTACGGTCTTCAACCAATTTGTAAAAAGTGAAGATTATGGCAAACTCCTCTTATGTAAAGGAGCCCCGCAGTCCAGCAGTGGACTCACAGACTCCTGATGATAATTATACACAATACAGCCAGGCGTTATATTGAGGAAGTTCATACTACAGGAAACAATGTCTAGTTTTAATTCCGCTACGATATCACGTAGCAGTAGCTACGAAATTTCGTAGTATGCGCTACGAACTTCCGTAGCAAGCGCTGCGGTTGTACAGATGTTCGTAGCAAGTATTAGATGATGATTCTTAACTTACCCAGACCATTATGATAAGGACTACAGCCAATCGAACGCTTTCATCTCCTCGAAGTATAAGAGCTTCTGTCCAGCCTCCGATGTAGTCATTCAGACCTAATTTGGACAAAGCCTGAAACAATGAAGTCGGTTAAAGAGATATAAAACTAACATATTTGTTTTCTTTAAACATTATCGCTAACCACCAGGCGTGACAGTAGTCAGACGATGACGAAAACCAAAGATGGAGCCCACTTACATATATGTATAACCAATAACGGAACTTTGACTTGAACATGACTTATAATCGAGACTTGTAAACACCCAAGATGAATTGGATTGTTGACAGACTTAGCAGTTCACAGCTGGCAGCAGTTCAAAATCGTGTAAGCATCTATAGTTGTATACCTCCATAAGCACGAAGAGCGCGGCAAAGAAGAGCAGTGTTGACCACTCGATTTGGCAGCACTGGCTCCAAATCCTCGCGGTCTGCCAGCGTCAGCAGCAGCAGCGCGTCCAGCAGCGCTGTCCGACCCAGGGACACTCAATCTGGGTAAGGATACCAAGGTCATAGTGAAACTATCATCAGCCAGGATAGGTCTACTACTGAGTAAATAACTTCTTCTTAAGAGAAGGTTCGCCGTAATCCCCATGCTTCTTTATCAGTGCGAAAATCATACAATGACTTCTCCAATGTTTGATTAGGCGATAGAGAGTGTCAGACTCTTACTGACTAAATACCAGCCCGTTCCTAGTCCTACTTCGAGCCGGAGTCCCCGTAACACGATAGATCGGCCTCAGCTATGGGTAGGGGATCAGCTCTACTGGACTGTAAGAATCTTTATTTTTGAACATGCACCTAATTTCAGTGACGTACAGACTGACGGCAAATTTCTATTTGAACCATTCAAAGGTGTGTTCATATGAATTACTTAAATTGATTTCAAAAAATCCATGTATAGGCATTTCTTTCTTTGCTCTAGGTATTCTCTTAGTCATGCTTTGTCTTTAATGAGGCGGTTGGATTCAAGATCGTAGTTAGTTAGGCAATGGCAAGTTTATAGTTTGTAGTGGTGATGATTCTAGCTTGTTTTTCCATTGGGAAACAACAAGTTTTAAAATAATCCTAGCCTAAAAGAAACCTAGTGTCACTGACGGACAGACTGTTATTTATTTTATGTTTTTGACATTTCAAAATAACAACCAATGACTTTTACTTTGAGTTGGCTTCACTGAGCTCTTGATCAGAGTTTGTGTATGAATCCAATGTGATACAGTTAACTCCGCATTTTGTTTTCGTAGCGTCCCTTAAAAACAGTTTCTACCTAGATTTATGATGTTGCTATAATAGTTTTTTTTTATCATGGACAATAACGTGGATACAGTAGACGTATCATACGAACAAAACGTATTTTGATTCCAATATCTTGCTTTTCAAAATGGCATACTTAATATCATACATATCAAGCAACTGTCAGGACATATAAATAAAATAAATATACAGCAATTCAATTCCTGAAAGCAAAATTATTTTAAAATAGTTTAACAATTCTTATCACTAAACTATTCGTGTACTCAGGACAATAGGTGATTACTATTTTCTAAGAAATCGCAAAGCTAATGATAATGGTGAAAACAATAAAAGGTTAATTTTTAACACGCATTTCTCCAAGGTTCCTCACTCTAACATTTTGTTTTGTCGCAGTGGGTATTTAAACGAAATTTTATGTGCCAAACAGTCAGTTTTCAGTCAAAGGATTCGCCGCGCAGCCAAGGAGGAAGGAGTAACTACCCTCACCGCTCGGACCGCAAATCGAAGATCGAAGACTACCCGACAAAAGCTCGGACGCGGACGGCTCGCCCACACCTGCGCGCGCTCGATCGTTGCCCCGGTAACGCGTGGCCCTCCGTCGTGTCCGGTGCCCGGTCAGCCACCAGCGGCTAGCCCCGGGTACCGGCTCGGCGGGTCCCCCGCGCGGGGTACCGACCGACGCGTCGCCACAGCGCCGCCACGACCCCCCCTCCCCCGCAACAATCTCTAACGCGCCTTTGGCGCTCGTGCGCACCACCCCGCACCCACCATGCCTCACGGTGGCCGTGAGCCGCCAGCATCACCGCGCTCCTCCAAGCCCAGCAAGGGCAAGGGGCGCATCTTCAAGAACTCGAAGCTGCAGCCTTCGGAGATCAGGGCGCTGCAGGCCGTCGCGCGCCAGTACAACGCAGCGGCCTCACAAACCTCAACCCCGACCGGAGGCACCAGTGGAGCAGGGGAGGAATTTTTCCCCCCGCCCCCCTCGATACCCGACACCCCGGCGTCACCCTCACCGCCACCGCGCGCAACCCGTCCAAACTGGTCCGCGCCGCCGGTGGTCAACATGCCGGAGCCAATGGACGTGGTGGCCCCACACCTAAACACCACCGACCGGGACACGGGTAGCTCACACCCGACCACCGCCATACCGGACGCAGGCACTACGCACCCTCCGTCCGCGATCCCGCGACCGACCCCACGGCCGCAGAAGAACACGGCGCAGTCGCAGCCGGCCACTGCCGCGACCGCCGCCCCCCGCGACCCCACCACCACCCCTGTGACACCCGAAACCAGGCCACCGGCGGGCACGCAACACGCCTCGGCCCCACCCCGCCAGCAACGACCGAAGAAGCCCCAACAGGGACCAACGACCGCACGCGCCGCGCCCTTAAGCGCTGCACCCACACGCGCCGCGGACCCAAGTGCTGCGCCCTCGCGCACCGCGACTGGAGCTCCCGCACCCCTGTATAACACCACGCCGGGACACTTCCCCTCCCCTACAAGGGAGCCGGCGGACAAGCGGCAGGCCGTCTTCATCACGCCGCCCTTCCGCCCGCCCCCCATCCTGCCACCATTCACCGCGCCGCCCCAGCATGACACTGCGCCCCCGCCGACCTACGCGGCCGCCGCTGCACCTAACCCCGCTGGCACACGCGCCCCCGCCTCAGCGGCGGGCCACACCGCCACACCAACCACAACGAACGCCGCCACCAACAACACCAGCGCCCCCGCGCCCGGACCACAGAGCGCCCCCGCCCCGAAAACACGATACCCGCCCCTCATCGTGGAGAAGCTCCCCAACTGGGTTGAGCACTTCGCGGCGCTGAGGAGGCGGATGGGCCACGCGCCCAACGCCCGCCCTTTTGGCCAAGGCGTGCGCTTCACACCCCGCTCCGACGAAGAATACAGAGCGATCCAGGCGTACCTAGCCGACCTGGAGAGGACCCAGGGAGTCGCCTGGTTCTCATACTCCCTCCCGGCGGAGCGGAGCCTAAAGGTGGCCATCAGAGGGTTGCCTGTGGACACCCCACCGGAAGCGATACAGGAGGCCCTGCGGGATGCCGGCTATAAGGCAGAATACGTCCGCCCAATCCGTGCGCGCCAGGGACGACCGGGGTGCCTGTAATACGCCCAGATTGCGCGCACGGAAAACACCACCCCGGGCATCTACACAGTGACGGAGTTGCTCTGCATGCCCGGGATCAAAATAGAGGCATGGCGGGGCAAGAAGGGCCCCGCGCAATGCCACCGCTGCCAACAATTCCGGCACTCGTCGCACAACTGCCACCGGCCTATGGCATGCGTGCGGTGCGGCGAGTCACACCCGGCCAGCGAGTGCCCCCGCCCGAGAGAAGAGCCGCCGACGTGCGCGAACTGCGGCGGAGCGCACACGGCGAACAACACGTCGTGCCCGGTGTTCCGCCGCGAAACGCGCAACCCCAGGGCGGGCACGTTGGCGCGCACCACCACCACCACCACCACCACAGCAAACAAGCCAGCCGCAACACAGCCAGAGGGCGAACCAAACGCCCCTGGCACCCTAATGGCCGCGGCAAATGAGCCGGGCGCTAAACGCCGTGCAAGGCGAAGGCGCAGGAAGATAAAGAAGCCCGCAAATGCCGCCCCTGCCCCCGCCCCCACTACCGCCCCCGCCGTCGCCCGCGCCGCTGCTAAAGCAAAGGCGCCCCCTGCCCCCGCGACCAAGGCGCCCGTCACCGCCGCGACTAAGGCAAACCGACCGGCAGCGCCAACCGCGCAAAAAGCACCCGCACCCCCGCCGATCACCATCAACACCGTCGTCCGCATCCTGCAGGGGATTGTGACGGCGCTCATTCAAGAGCGGAGCGATCCAGTGCCGCTGCTCCTAGACGCGATCAAGTCCCTGATCTGCGATGGACCACCGGCACCTTAAGATCATTCACTGGAACGCCAATGGGATGTCCCCCGAGAAGACCAGGCTATTGAAGCTGCTGCTAGACCAGCGACAAGCTGATATAGCCCTGATCAACGAGACACACCTTAGACCGGTAGACAATCTGAAGATGGCTGGCTTCCACATCTACCGGGAGGATCACATCTCGCCGTCAGGGATTGCCTACAGGGGACTGGCAATCCTGGTCAGGAGAAAAGTCGTCCACCAGCTACTACCAGTGCCAACGCTGCGCGCGTCCTACGCGCTGGGCGTGGAGATCTGCATCGACCATCAGCCGACCCGGGTGTTCGCGTTCTACAGACCGCCGCACTACCGCCTCGCAGTGGCTGACGTCCACACCCTGCTGGACTCGCCACTGCCAACCATCATCGCCGGTGACTTCAACCTGAAGCACACGGCGTGGAACGCGAACGCCAACACACGTGAAGGCAGCCGCCTGCTCGACGATGCAGAGCTCCACAACTACGTCGTGCTCGGGCCGGAAGCCCCGACGCACTACCCGCACGACCGGCAACTCACGCCCGACGTCATCGACCTGGCCGTCCTACGCGGCATCTCCGCGACGGTCAGCTGCGACGTCCTGGACGACCATCTCCGGTCAGACCACCAGCCAGTGAGTCTGACTATCGAGGACATCCCACAGCACCTGCGACCTCTTCCCCCTCGCCCACGGCGGGACTGGCGCGCATTCGCCGCCCACATGGCGCAAAACTCGCCGTCATATCGGATCGACACGCCCGCCGACGTCGACCGACTCGCCGCCGACTTCACCGCGGCCGCCCAGACCGCACTAGCCGAGTCCCAGATGGCAAACGTGTCGTCACCGAGGAGGCCATCACCCCTCCCAGCCGCCATACTCGCCATGGTCGAGAGGAAGAGGAGACTCCGCAGGCAATGGCAAAGGACCCGATGCCCGACAATGAAGAGCTCGCTCAACGCTCTGGCCGCCAGAATCTCGTCCGCCGTGGCAAACCACACGGCCGAATCCTGGCAACGCGCCATCGAGCACGTGAGCGACGACTGGTCGGGCATACACAGATTGTGCCGCAGCCTCTCCGGGAAGCCAGCTCCGATAAGACCCCTCCTGGCCGGCGACGGTACACCCCGCTACCGAGCCGAGGACCGAGCGGAGCTCTTCGCTGACTCCCTGGAGAGCCAGTTCCAGCCCAACCCGGCCCGCAACGTGCAACACACAGCAGCTATCGAACTTCAGGTAGCACAGTACCTGGAGCAGCCGATCTCCCCGGAAGAGGACCCAATCGTGCTCTCCCCTGGCATGGTGCGGCGTATGGCTCTGCGAGCCCCACTACGCAAGGCACCCGGTCCGGACGGAGTACCCAACGAAGCCCTCCGCCGCCTGCCGCCACGAGGAATCGCGACGTTGACGCGGCTATTCAACGGCATCCTCCGCACCGGACACTTCCCTGCCAAGTGGAAGCTCGGCAGAGTAATCATGCTGCCCAAACAGGGGAAGAACACACTGCTGCCGGGGAGCTATCGCCCCATCACGCTCCTGGACACTGTCTCGAAGCTCTTCGAGAAGCTGCTGCTGTTGCACCTGCGCCCACACCTCCAGCCACGCGGCGAACAGTTCGGCTTCAGGGCGGAACACTCCACCACCCTGCAAGTGGCGAGGGTACTGCACGACCTGGCGGCCGCGCGCAACAAGCGCGAGCGCGCCGCGGCAGTATTCCTCGACATGGAGAAGGCGTTCGACCGCGTCTGGCACGCCGGCCTGCTCAGCAAGCTGGCCACATCTACTACTCCTCGACGACTAGTTAAGATCGTGGCCACCTTCCTGCACGGCAGAACCTTCCAAGTGGCAGTGGAAGGCACTCTGTCGACCGAGCGGAACATCCGTGCCGGCGTGCCCCAGGGAAGCTGCATCTCACCTGTGTGCTACTGCGTGTACACGGACGACATCCCCGTCGCGAGCGGCGTCAAACTAGCGCTGTACGCCGACGACGCCGCCTACTACACGACATCAATGAACCCGAGGCACGCAGTAGTTAAACTACAGCGCGCCCTAGATGCACTCCCTGAATGGCTGGAGAAGTGGAGACTGGCTGTGAACGTGGCCAAGACTCAAGCGCTCGCCGTGGGGATCATGAAGCCGACACCCATGACACTCATGGGAGAGCAGGTCCGGTGGGCGCCGAGCGTTAAATACCTCGGCGTGACCATCGACCGCTCGCTCTCAATGACGCCCCACGTGCAGCAGGCTGTTGCTCAGGCGCGCGCCGCGCGTTGCCTCTTGCGCCCGGTGATCGACTCGGCGCTGCCTCTCCGTGCGAAGCTCGGTATCTACAAGGCCTACATTCGGACACGGCTCACCTACGCCGCCCCGGCATGGTACGCGCTCGTGTCCGAAACCAACAAGAAACGCCTCCGTGCGCAGCAGTCACTGTCGCTGCGCACCATCGTACAGGCCCCGCGCTTCGTACGGAACGCGACAATCGCCCGAGACCTCGGCGTAGAGAGCGTCGACGCATTCGTGCAGCGCCTGAGCACCACACTCTTCGAGCGCTCCGATCGGTCGCGGCACGACCACCTCCGGGAGCTGGCGCCCTACCACCGGCGCCCCCCCGACGGCTTCGGCCTCCCAAGAGACCTGGTCGCGCTGACCGACCCATCGGACACCGCGTGAGACTCCCGCCCGCCCGCTGGCGGGTCGGTAGAGTCTCCGCCCCCACCGGACACGACCGCGCGCCGCTACCAACCCGCCGCTCGCCGGGCTCCCCCCGGCTCGAGCGCGGCCTCTAGCGGCGCCCCCACTGGACACGACCATGCCCCGCCAACAGCCTGCGGCTCGCCGGGCTTGCCCGGCTAGAGCGCGGCCCATGGCGGGGCAAACCACCGGACTCGACACCGCATCGGGCCCCGCAAGGAGCCCGACTAACCCAACCCCTCGCCTGCTGTAGCAGGCAGCGAGCGCATCCGCCGAGACAGGCATCGGCCTGGAACGCGCGACCTCGCGCCCCCTGCCGGGGACGCAGAGAAGACTCGACGGCAAACAGTCAGTTCTTAACTTATCATTGACACGAACAGTAGTCTTTCAGTGATCGGAAAATTGTTTATCCTGAATTATTATATCAAAATATCAAGATGAGTTACGAAAATAAAATAAACTTCGACAGTATCTTAAATGATACAGAAAACACACGATGTGGTGGTGACATTGGACGAAACTTTGTCCTAATTGGAAAGCCGTGTAACGGTCCTGGAGCACGCGCCGGTGACCGTTTCCGACGTGTTGTCGTCAAGAGCATGTTGCGCAGAAGAGTTTTCAGTGGCATTACGAAGACCACAAATTACTTAGTGCATACTAACAGCGCATGGACACATGTCTTGTTCAATGACTTTGGTCAAGTAATTCAAGATAGTGCTATTTCGTCTACCACTAGCGGTCCCACGAATGATATTAAGAAAGACGCTACTTCAATGGGGACAGCAATGGACAGCTTTAGTGGTGAAGCTACAAATAATGTTACTGTATCCTGCAGTAGTGCTCCTCGCAACTGTGATGAAGAAATTGAAGGATATCATCGAAAGTGTCCTAAGCAGTTCCAAGAAGAGCTTCTAGCGGACATCAAAGCGATACGTGCGAGAAGTAAGAAACTACTTCAAGATGTGAAGCAGTTTCGATACGATCTCAGGGTCTATCCGTTTTAATATATCATTGTTACTTGCTTGAAATATTGTAAATAATTAGTATAAGAATTAGTTTATGTAATACTTTGTAGAACCTTGTAGCTTGTAATGATAGTAATAAGTTTATGATTTAGTAATAATTTGTGGCTTTTTGTGTAAAATTAGGTTTGATAGTAAAAAATATTGTCCAAATAAAATGTTAAAGAAATTGTATTATATTATTGTATTATAATTAAAGCTAATTATGGACACTTTTGTGTAATGAATTTCAAAAATAAATGGATGAATTGTATAAAAAAGTATATTTTTTTGTTGCATAATATAGCTTTATACACAATAGTAAATATTCAGTGTGTTAAAATGGATCTACATACATATAGAATTACACACATTTCCTAAACGATAAATAAATCTTAATAATATCTTACTCGACCCCCAATGGCATATTTGGATAATGTGTAATTTAAGTAAGAAAATTAGTCTTATTTTATGCCAAAAACATACAAAACTAAAACTAAAAACAAGGTTGGTCCTACAAAGAG